GATGTATTCCAGGGCTGAGGGGCTGTTAGTCCTGTGCACTGTATTTTTTTTTTAATCAACATGTTTCCTATACTGTCATGTGCATTTCTACCCTAATAACAGAATGCTAGTGCATGGAACAACTTATTTATATAAAAATTTAAGGGGGTTTTTGTTTGTTTTCATGTGAGGGATTTCTCATGCTTAAATTCTATTTACAACTGTTTTTTGTTTGTTCCTCCCATCCAAGTATTGGACAGGGAGATTGATGTGATTTCTAGACTGCAGTTTACTGGGGTTACTTCTTTTGGTTTTGCAGATATTCAGCTTTGTCTCACCTAAAAAACGGTAGTTTGCATCGCCTTTCTGAAACACCATTGGGATCTGCTCTTAAGGCAGATCCCGTGTTTGTGGTGGGGAATTTGATCAAGTAAAGAGGGTCACGGGCTACAGCAGTCTAAATAAACTTCACTTGTTCTAATTGTTCTAATTTGTAGGCTTCCAGAGGTGAGGATGTGTCCTGAAATAAAGTGGGATGTTGCAATTCCTCCACAGTGAGATTAAGACACTTAAGATTATCCAGGACCTTTAGTAAGATGGTGAGAGACAGACCTCCATAGCTTTGTTCTGCTGTTTAATAACCACCTTGGGTCTGATGAGTTTTCAACTTGATGTTTGTTTGAGTTTGGCTGTATTTTGAGCACTGCTACCACAGTATATGGAGACTGAAGTAAGCTAACATAGGAAAGATCTCATATATACGTTAGGAATTTCCTCAGGGAATGCTCCATATTTAAGTTTAATTTTAAGAGTGTTATGATCCTGTAAAATTAGAGAATATTTTTTTCCCGTAAAGTTGTTTAAAATGTTGCTTGCATGAATGAGAACACTGTAAGATAGGTAGTTGGGTTATGTATATGAGACTTTTTGATTGATTATTTTTTTGGTCTCTGACCTCCTTGAAAGGATAAAGGAGACATTGTATATACACTACTTCCTCTGAAAGTAACTGATAAAAACACAAGCCTGGCCATACTGAGTCATATCACAGGTCATCTTGGCTAGTATCCTGTCCTAAGTTGGCCAAGAGTGAATATCTAGGGTAGAGAATAAAAGCAGGAAACCATATAAAATGACTCCGCAGAATGCCCTTGCCACCTTCAGTGATTTGTGAATCAAAGGCTTCCTAAGCTAAAGATGGAATATTTGTATGTAACTGTTTAATGGATTTTTTTATTATTATTTTTAGTGAATTTGTCAAGTCACTTTTTGAATCTATGTAAGCTTTTAGCATCTGCAGCGAAGATTTCTTCAGCTTAACAACTTGTATGAAGTTACTTGTGCTTGGTCTAGTTTGCCTCCTGATGAACACACGTGTGAACAAGGCAGATGCATTTGATGTAAGACTCTGCCACACTAATTGCAACATCAGGCCTTGCACTGAAATTCTTGCTGACTTTCTTCCTAATTTTGTTACTGTTGCCTATACCAGTCATGCTTCCTTGCCGAGTCTTGATTTTCATGTCGGCTGAATAATTGCTGCAATAGTGCATCAGTTTTTTTGTAAACTGCCTTAAAAATAAGAAGACCATTTGTCCATGAGTGTTATTGACTGGAACTGTCTTGATGCCAAATAGAAGGAACAGCTAGCAGAGCAGTGTGTCAGAATATATAGTGGGGCTTATTAGCAGCTTTAAACATGTTTTTTTTGGAATTCTTTTTTTTTAAAGGCCAAGACTACATTTTATAAAGTTTCTCTGGTATGGGCTGGAAGAGATAGCAGTATGTAAGAGCTGATTTCACACTTCTTCATGCAGAGGTTGGCCAAGAGATGAGATTCGGTCTTGTTGCTGTCACTGTTTCTTTCTCACAGCTGCTTTCATTTCTGCTTCACTTCCTATTTCTAGGAAACCTTCTGAGTATCTTAGGATTGCTCAGCTCTCTTGCCTGTCTTCATGGGAGAAGGGTACAATCATTTCTTGACAACCTGTACATTTCTCACAGGAAAAGAGTCTGAAAGTTCTTGTCTACTCAGTTACTATCTTCAAAATTATGTATCTTTACATTCTATGGTCTGTACACTTTACAGCTAAAAGTGATGCAGATATGTCAAACTTCATACGCTTGGTCACCCTTTGAATAGGGAACAGCTTTACTGGAGTTCAAAAGAGATATAATCCTTCCATCTCTCCTCCAGTTCCCCTTAACACCACTTAACATTTAACATGCAGAAATGATGTGCTCTGCTGTGTGTTGGGGAAGAGACGGTAGTGCCTTACCTCTCCCTTGCTGACCATCTTTTACCACCTCTCTTCTGTAGCTACATGAGCAAATTCAGCTCTAGTGGGGGGGGCTGGCTGCAGGCTTTGATGCTATTTAAACAATATTGACACTGTGTTTTATTGATTTAGAAGGAATTGCAATAACGCATAAGTTATAAGCACATTCACATGATGCTTTTGTTTTTTGCACAAAGGTAACTTCATCCCTTCGTCCCTTCTTTTGCCCTCTTTTTGTGATGCTTCTGGAGATGTAGGTTAACACCTCTTACATTTTGCCATGGGTGTAGGCAATGCTTCAGCATTACTCTGGCAAACACTTGGTCCATAGGCCTGAGCATGTTTCTGCAGTATTAGTACTGCCTCAGGAACAATTTTTTGATATGTTAACACTGCTTTGTGCTGTTACTGTGATCTAAAACAGCTTGAAATTTGTCTCAGGCTGTAATTAAATTGGCTTTTGGTTTGGCTGCATCACTCTGGCTGTACCAGACCGTATCCATAAACTTAGTTCTGTAATTTTGTATTGCCAAATGGCTGCTATTCATGGTAATGCCCAGAAGGATTTTGTTCTGTTTCAAAGCCAATGAAGATTTATGCAACTCCTTTAAATAACAAATGTGTTATCTTTGTACTCATGTATTACAACATTAATACGGAAAAGTGGAATTGTGCACTAGGGAAAGCAGTTCTACCTTGCCTCGCTTTAAGAGCTCATAGACTTCCATGCTGTCTCTCCTTGAAAGTTATTCCTTGGGATTACTTTCCACCACTAGTCACTAGACTGAAATCTTACTATGCATGTGCATCGCTAATACATACATCATGTACCATACTTCTAAGGTGTTTTGCTTTGAAGTGAAAAATAGTGCGTGGCTGACTTTTTCTGGAAAACTCCTAAACTTCTTTCTACCTGTGTTTGTTGCTACTACCACCCCATCTTGGATCTCTAGCTGCCTTTTTATCCCCTGTGTTGCCAAGAGACCTTCAAGAGGCGAGAGGGGATACCTGTGTTTGTACCTGTGTCTTAATGTTGGGTTTTTTCCATTTTTTGTAATGTTGAGGGTTTGGGACAGTCTGTAACTAAATTACTTTCCTTTGAATAACAGAAGAAAAGCCAGCCTTAGAAGAGATTTTTGCTGGGATTCTCTCTCCTGTGCAGTCTGCGGTGATGTGCAGGGAGGCTGGGTACACAGCATATGCAGAGCTCGCTGGTAGCTTGGGGATGGTCAGTTCAGATGTTCTGGTGAGCGTAAAGGAGCCTGGAAACAGCATTAGGCTTGCTCATTAGGAAGAAGGACAAATGTGGTGCTGCCAAACACAGCATGTACTTTCTCATTGGAAAGCTTGCCAGTTTCTTACTTCAATACCTGACGACTGAAAGGGCTGCTACCCTATACAGATGCAGGACTCTTCCTATGAGAATTTGGAGCATTTTGCAGCACCTTTCTTCTGAATTTCTTTAATATCCACTCTCTTCTTATTTCTCTTCTGTCATTTTGATTGTACTTTAGCAGATGTTTGATTGTATGAACATTCCTTAGCAGCCCTCTTACTGTATTAGTCTGCTGCTCCTTTTTTCCACGTAGTTATCTTCTATATCTGGAATGAAATTTTCTTTTGTGAAGATCTCTTGAGAAGATTTCTTTAAGATCTTTTGTTCATATTTTGTTTGATCATCTTCTATGTCTTGCACTTTGACATACTTCTGTCTGCTGCTTCCTTGTGCACACTACCTGCTGGTCACTTCCTATCCTTCCTTCTCAGTCCTTTTATTGCTAGGGAATGAGATTTTTTTTCTTTGCTTGAGCTTATAATTCACTGGTGACTTTTTTTCCTTTTTTGGGGCCTGAAGAAGTGTGATGGTCAAATGACCAGCTCTAGTAATTTTTCCTAATTTGGTATTTATGTTAATCTTATTTAAGTCTACAGTCAGAGTGCTACAGTAACACTCAGTTTTAGGAAGGAAAATATTTCATATTTTGGGGGAAGGACGATAGAACTGCCAAGAAAGCTTAATAAAAGCTCCATGCTTAATAAAAGACCCGGCCTACTACTAAAGCCAGAAAAATATCTAACTGGAAGAGACAAAATGCAATAGGAAGATCTTTTATTAGTCCTGTTTCAATTAATTTTCTCCTAGGAAAGTGGAGTTAATGTGTATCTGAAAGTAATTTTTATAGAATTATAACCAAAAAACCTCAAAACAAAATTAATTTTGGTGTAGGCTATCTGGAGCTCCCTATAAAAGCAGGAAGAAGGGTCATGAGGTAGAATGCAAACACCATAGGAACAAGATATCTCTCTGTATTTTAATTTGATCATTTTTAGCACTGTGTATATGCTATGAGGAGGACTAATTTATACATGGCTGAAGCCCTTTCTAACCATCCCCATCTTCTTTGCTTGGCTGTTCGTCACAGTGATAGTGTCTGTAATCCTGGCTCTGTAAAGGCCCTTCTGCCCTATTCAGATGCTTTTAGGCTTATTGAATGCAATACCTGGCAAACCTTTCTGATTTGTGTTGGATGTCGTCCAGTGAAAACTGTAAAAACTGCCTATGTAGCAGCTGCTCTGTTAAAGCAAGACCTTTTTGCCTGGTAACAATAACAACTCTTGCAGCATTTGGCATTAGATTCTCTTTGACTTGTTGGCTGTCAGGCCCAAGAGCACTGGACTCCTGCATGGTATACCTGGTAATTGTCACCCTTTTAGTTTGTGCTGCTGACTTGAAGCATGGTTGCGTCTGCCAAGTTATGCATGGAGTGAGCTCAGGTGTTTGCAAGGTGAGTTTGCCTTCTTTCCTAAGGCAGCGGTTCTGATTTAGTCATAAGCAAAACCTGTGGAAATGTAACATTAACTTCTGCCGTGACCTGTACTAATTTTGTCATTCCTTCCCCCCCACCCCTTTTTTTCCTCAGATAAATGGCTCATTTAAATTGGGAGCTACTAAAATACTCTCTGGCTGGCAAATGCAGTGCCTAGCAGCAGTCATCAAGGACGAACCAAACATGAGTGGAGGAGGGGAACAGGTCGACATTCTTCCGGCCAATTATGTGGTCAAAGATCGCTGGAAAGTGGTGAGTAGCTCTGGCTTTGCGCTTCCTTTGGTGGCCCAAACAGATCTCCTTCTCCTGTAGTAGTATAGATACTTGTCTAGTTAATCCTGGGGTCCGGCAAGCAACAGTGGAGTGGTATGTTTTGGCATGTTAGTAAGATACTGCAAAAAGATGGTTAATATTGCTCTAGTGTTTTTTAGACTGTCTGGTGTTTTTAGAAGACTAAACCTGCCAAGGATTCTTAAGTAAGATTGGACTGTCGCAGCAGGCTGAGTCATGTTTTAGTAAGAAACTTAGATTTTGAGTTACTCGCGCAAACAATAGTACAGATGTGCTGATAAATAAATTGCGTTACAATAAAATACTGTAAAAGCAAATGTTACAGGTTGGAATGTCAGCTAATGCAAAAGTCAGAAATTCCATAATTAGCTTGTTGGTACAACTTGTGTGTAAATTTATTAGGATACATTCTAAAATTATATCATCACATGTTAAAAGTTGTAGTTCTTCATGGGACAACCGTCTCATCTGTTGTGCAAGCTGGATGGAGTACACTGAATTAGTAGCCATTTCATCTTTTATGTACTCTTTGTATGGCTGCAGATCTCACTATCCATTTAAATTCATGGCATGAGCTTGCCATTCAGATTCGGCTCTTTGTTTCTTATTGCTGTAGTATCTGTGTCAGGTATATTTATTTTTGTTTTATTCATGCTTTTACCAGGTGATCAAGAGAGAACTATTAGCTTACTTTTACAGGTAGGGTTTCGGATTTAGTTAGATTTTCATTTATATTATTTTTTACAGACTGCTTAATATTTATGACCAAAGCACAATTTCGCTAGGCATCATGGGCATCTAGGTCTGCTCATCACTTCTACAGATTGGACCTGTCTGTCTTGCCTTAGGCACCCAGCAGATGAGTGTGTGATTGGTGATGGCTCGTGAGCAAATACTTCAGCAGCTTGACCAGAATCATGCAAGAATGCTCTGGTAGAGACATGGGGAGAATCTCATCCTCCAGATATGTGTTTCATTGCCACCATATTTGTTCAGAGGATGCAGTTCCTCTTATGTGTAAGACTTTCTCTTTAGTCATAAAGTGAGGTCTCTGGGATTGTGGGGGAAGTGGCATTATATCCTCTCCTCAGTTAAAGAAACTAGAATATAATACCTGAAAGGATCATGTACCTTTATACTTCTTGAAATTCTGTATGTGTTTTCTGAGAGTTTTTGTTTTCTGGCTTTAAAAGCTTTGCTTTTAAAAAGCTGGGAAAAAAAAATTAAATCCCATCTGTGCCGTTGTGTCCATTTTAACTTGGATTACCAGCAGTGTCTGAACCATTAAACTCGCAGCAGAAGCTTTGCTAGTTTGAACTACAAGTGATTTGTCATAGTAGCACTCAGTCGTTTCTGTGTGCTAACTACCTATGGTACAGCTGCCCTGTGAGTTTTGCAGTGGGCTGTGAAGAGCAGAGGACTATAAAGACACTCAGGGCTCTGAGCTCGCTTCAGTTCCAGGCTGTGGGTAGGTTGCTTTCAACAGCCGCTTTAGACAACGTATTATCCTTTCATTAGACTTGTCTCGTGCCTGTATCTCTTTTGCCCTGGGCAGTTCCCCCTTGCTCTGTTCTTGTCATGCCCCCATTCCCTGCCTCTCCATCCTAGCTATTTCCTCCTGCTTTCTCCACAGCCTTTGCTTTTTTGTGTGGCCTATCCCCAAACAGCCTATTTATATTTGAGCAGTTCAAACTGCTCTTCATTCTCTATGCTTCCTGAGAGCAGATGGAGAATCTCAATTTTCTCTGTGATTAGATACCAAAATGGAGACAACCCCTATCCCTCTCTCTCAAAGCTTTCTGGCACAGCTGAAGGAAAGTCTTGCTGTGCTTTTGCAGCTCTCTGGGCTGGAGCACACATACTTGGTTTGGCAGGATGATACGTGTGCAGGTTAGCTGACATGTAGGACTTGAAACATGCTCTGTCTTTATGGACTTCTTAGAAAATACTGCTTGCAGCTTTTATCTGACCCTCCCTGCATAAATGGAAATTTCCTTAGAGCCTACAATTTGGTCAGATTGGTGCGTGTTCATTGCAAAGCTGAATCTAGACACTCTCTTGATGCTAAGCCATTGCTTCAAATGCACTGTTGCTCATTCTTCTCCATTCTCCTTTACCCTAGCTAGCTTTGGCTTGTACTGTTCCTACTGTTCATCAAACTTTGAGTTTGTCTTTCGTAGACAGGAGTGCTAAAACTTCTGTAAATTATGGGAGTATTTTTTTAACACAGTCTAAACAAAGTAATTTTGATCTTGGAAACAGCAGAACTCTTAAAAGCACCAAAAAGCCTAAATAAGGCCTAAAATATGCTCAGTTATGCTCACAGGGGAACACTTCAAACTCATTTTAAATTTGGTAGAGGCACTAAATGTGGGATTCAGTGACTTCATTGTTGCATGAATCTGTGATTGGGGACTGCTAAAAGCTCTACCCACTAACTCTGTGTAGAAAATGTAGAAATGTGTAGGTATATTGTCAACAACTACCTCCAACTAGAGAAATAACCTTTTATGTTTTATAATGTTGGCTCACAGTAGTCTTCAATACTGCAGTGAGGTCATTACCCCACTTGAAGGCCCTGAGAAATTACATGGCTTGCTAAAGGGCGTAAATAGCAATGAGAAATTCTGATTCTCAGCTCTGAGCGGAGCTGGGACTTTAGCCTTGTACTAGCTCAGCTGTGTGTTGTGAGACTTCATTGAACAGTCATTTCTGTCCCCCTGAAAAGTGCACACCCTTTAGGCAGGCCTTCTGTGCTGTCTCCTTGCTGTGCTTGATGTTGGTGTGGACCAGTCAGAACTGTGAGCCTGATCAGGCTCGAAGTAATCTGGTAAAAATATAAAACTACCTCTGTTGGTCCAAGGAAATGGATAGCATAGGATCAAATGAGAGATGAAAAAGGTAGTGTACCTTAAAGTGAGCATACAGCTGTAACATCGGTAGTAGCATTTTTTCTTTATCATAGACCTTTCTGAATCTAACCCACAGCGTGCAAGCTGGACAGTGCAAACTTTGCTGTGAGTGATCGATCCTGCTCCAGCAGGTGTGTGGCATATTTATGTGATCCTGGGGTTCATCTGCCAGAAGGTTTTTTGTGTAATTTGTCCTCCCATTGTGACTGTCTCTGGCTGGGCATTTGCTTGAACCTTGTAGTTCTCAGTGCTGGCATACTTCCAGTATTGAGCCAATTTCTAATTTTAGATCAGTGTAATGTATTCCTTGAATTCCTTTTCTCCTCTCCTCCTATATGCTGGCTGACAAAGTTTTGACAAATGAAGATTTTAGTTCTCTGCAGTTAGCCTGTTGTACTTCGTTTTCCTGTCGCTCCAAGTTGGCAAATTTTGGCTGTCTGACAGCAATGATATTTTAGTTCCTGCTTTTGGAGAAAGGCATGGACAGGGAGTGCTTATGCTTTTTATCAAAACTTTTGGACATGAAGAAGTATTCTTTTGAGTCATCATTCTTTACTTGCAGATATTTTTGATGCTTTGACTGGATGAAATTTGGACAGTGCTGGAACCATGTGGCTTTTGCTGAGACCCCAGAGGGTGACTTGATCCACACATGCTCTGAGTGATGTGAACTGCTTTGCTCAGGGGAGGCAACAAAGTCAAACATAAATTGTACTTGCTTTGAACTAGCTATAGATATTAAGGCTGAATGGATATATCTCTTCATTGCACCTAAATGTGTTGCATCAGGGATTCACAACTGAGAGTTATTAGCAAGACAATGGTGACAGCTTCTGCACTGTACTTTGAGTACAAATGGTGACTATTGTACACATGTATGCTGTTTTGCCAGGTACAATCCAAGCTTTGGTTTCTTTCACATTTCTGAGGTTCTTGAAGTAAAGTTTGGTAAACACTTTGGTTTTATTTTGGAAACCTTCCTGGAAGCCACACAAACTTTTGTGGACTCTTCACCTTGTCTTGGTCACAAAGGCTATTTATGGTTCCAAGAGGGAACTTGGGACAAGGAAGGTGCTTTGTCGGTCTTGGGGCCTGTTTTGGTCTCACTTTGTGTAGAATTGCTTTAAGTGGGCTTTGGCAGGTCTTCAGATGATTTAGAATGGGGCTGTTTGACTTCTCCTTGATTGGCTTCTCAGTTCATGTCTGTTTTATATATGTTAGTTTTCCTTTAAGATGAGTATAACTCCAGTCCTCCTAAGCAAGTTGAGTGGCCTCTGAAAGTTTGGTGAATGTAGGTCCCATCTTCCTTACCTGTTAAGTCAGATGAGGCCTGATAGCCATTTATGGATCAAGTAGCCCATTGAGTTGGGCTGCAGGAGTTGCAGGCTTGACTATACACGTGCTCCTAAAAGTCAGTCACAGTAGTCACTGTTTGACCTTGTCAACATTTGAGGCCTGTGGGTGACAGCCTTGACCCTGGCTGAGTTCACTGTAGGTCGCTGGCTCTCAGTTTGGTCCTTTGCTCTGGATTCAGAGCACATGTACTTGTTCCTGACCTTGCCACTGATCCTGAGTCTGAACCACTCATGCCTTGGTTCTGGAGCATTTTCCTGGGCAGGTCTAGTCTTTATATCGTATCCTTGGAAGGCAAATTTTGTTTAGAGCAGCGGTGTCTTACACGTTTGCTGAATAAAAGACTGAATTTGTAATTAAAGGCTATTTTGGGTTTTTTTTGGGGGGTGGGGCATGCTGGCTTTGTTTTTTTGAGCTGGCCCTCTTTGAGTACTGATTTCGGTTTAGTGGTCTGTGTGTTGTTGTGTTTTTTTGGGGTTTGGCGTGGGGTTTTGGGGGTTTTTTTTTATAGGCTCTGGAGGATTGTGCTGCAAGAGTCTTTTCAGGATAAATCCAAAATATTTCAGGATTAAATGAGACTTCAAAGGGAGCCATCTGGGTCCTGTGTAACTACTGATATATCCAAGGGGCCTTTTCAGAGTGGCTTCTCCCTTCAGGACATCGCTGGTTTGAGTTGGTGGTCCTGAGGGACAGTTCAGTTTGGGGAATTACTGGAATCTCCTAGCTGGAGACTGTCACACTGAGGGGTCAAGTAGAGTGGCTTTTCAGTAACAGTTGACTCCAAGGGCCTAATGTGGCATGAAACCTCTTAGAATGTGGAAGAAGCACTGCAATGAGCTGCATGGTCGTGTGGCCATTAGTGGGATGCTGAAAGGACTGAAGTAATGTGTGAGATGTAGCTTGCTTAATTTTAGTTGTCTATGTGCAAGTCCAAATACATACCTGTGTGTTATCAGATGAATTGTTCACATGACTCCAGAGGCTGTAATGGAAATGTGGACACCCAACTTGCATATAGGCTCATGCATTTAGGTAGAATGAATCCTGCTGGTATTTTCAGCCTGTATCCCAGTCTTAACAGTAAATGGTCTGGTGGAAGGTAGGAAACGGAATGAGAAGAAAATATTCCCAGAGCAGTGAGGTTTAGCATGGGCTGGTGACCCATGATTACCAGTTAAGTGATTCTCGTGAGATGTTCCCTTCTCTTTCTTGACTTTGTGTTTAATGATTTCATTATTCAGTTATTTTCTTGAGTGGTATATGCCCATCACTCACTTGTGTCCAGCAGAAGGATGTGCTGAGTTCACCTTAAAACAGTAAACTTCCAGAGTACCCAAGCAATGAGGAAAGCATATGTGGTAAGCCCCTGACCTCAGCCAAGACCTTGAGTTGCAAGATAACAACTTGCTCTGCAACAAAGAAAAGGAAATGGCTGCTGATGGCCTCTGGATGTTGCTGAAAAATCAAGAAGGATGGCAGTGCTATTAATGATGAATAGGATCATCTGGTGTGCTGGGAAAAGTATGCCAGAGAATAATTTCCATAAGAGGGTGAGAAAGGATGTGAGGAAGCAGAGGCAGCTTGAGGGCTCTTTGACAGTAAGGTGCATTGTTGGCTGGAAGGTGTGTATAAAATCAGTTTCAGAATCATAGAATGGTTTGGGTTGGCAGGGACCTTAAAGATCTTCCAGATCATCACCACCCTCAGAGTAAAGAATTTCTTCCTAATATCTAATCTAAATCTACCCTCTTTCAGTTTCAAACTGTTACCCCTCATCCCATCACTGCACTCCCTGATAAAGAGTCCCTTCCCCATCTTTCCTGTAGGCCCCCTTTAGGTACTGGAAGGCTGCTGTAAGGTCTCCCCGGAGCCTTCTCTTCTCCAGGCTGAACAACCCCAACTCTCTCAGCCTGTCTTCATAAGAGAGATCCTCCAGCCATCTGACCATCTTCCTGGCCCTCCTCTGGACTCCCTCCAACAGGTCCATGTCCGTCTTACGTTGGGGGCCCCAGAACTGGACGCAGTACTCCAGGTGGGGTCTCACAAGAGCGGAGTAGAGGGGCAGAATTGCCTCCCTCAACCTGCTGGCCACACTTCTTTTGATGCAGCCCAGGATGTGGTTGGCTTTCTGGTCATTCTCTTCATCCTGAAATGAACCACTCGGGGAGAGCCTCTAGCACCAAGGTGGTCAATATTGTGCATTGCACATGACTAGACCTTCCTACAGATCCCTGTATTGCTGCTATCCTAATCATATTACTGTGTTGTTCCACTTACATTGTAGTAGCTTTGCATTTTGACAACTGTGTTGCAAGTAGGAGCTGGCCCAGTTAAGGCCAGTGAATGGAAAAGGATCGTTCTGTATGTCTGTGCTGGCTCAGTAATATTTCTCCCCAGATCCATTTCTTGAATTTGCAACCCAGTGAGGTATTTGGGTAGCCTATGTTTCTTCTCCATCCCAACTATGTTGTGTTATGTTTATTACTGTTAACTTTTGCTTATTATGTTACCCTGTTTCCCACTGAGACTTTTTAAATTTTCCTTTGAGTCCTTCCAGATCCCAGCTAAACTTTTTGCCTTCTGCAGCTTTTACTGTCCCTCTCCCTTTTCTTTCTGTGTCATCAATACGTCAGGCAACAGAAAATCCTGTGTGCTGAATCCTGAGGTATTAGCTGGCATGTTGTTGCTATGCTGAAAGTGGCGTTGTTTTGATAGAAAGATATTTTTTTTTTTTTAATAGCCAGCTCACTTAGTGTGAATTTCCAAGTTGAAATAGGGCTGCACTGTAATAATTTATTAATAATATGTGGTGACCTAGTTATTGCAATGTTTACTGTATGAATATGCCTGTTTAGCCCAGTGGAAGGTTGTGAGGAAAAATAGCAAGTTAAAGGAGAAGAATGGCTCTGGGAAGCAGCTCTCAAAAGGTTTTCAAGAAATAGCTTCAGAGACAATAGTCAGGCCGTTAATATGGAAAGTACTACTTCTTCATGCAGAGCTGTTGTTCTTGACCTGGAAGCCAGAAAAGCAAATGGTTTGGGTCACCTTAAAAAAAACCAACAACCAGTCTTTGAGTGGCAGGGCCCTTTGTTCAGCAAACTGGGCAGATGCACAGGACAAGCCTTCTGTGGTGTAGAAGGTACTAAAATATCATCTAAACCTCGTTAAACGTTGTATAAGATACGTGTTTGACTGTCTTCCTTATCTAAACTTCTTTTTCTCTTCAAGTGTCATTGCTGCTGTTGGAAAGAAGCAATGCTCGGGGCCTCCTGAGCAGTTGTGAACAGAGGGAACACAAAATGCTGAAGGGAAGGGCTGCAGCTATGTTCAATGAGCAAGTGCTAAGCAGATCAAAGGAGCCCTGATCTAGCTCTGCTGTAAACATGAATTTGTTCCTGCGCAGCATAGTATGCTTTAAATATATCTAAGAGAAACAAATATAAAATAATTTTCCTAGCGTAGACATTGACACTTGCAACACATTAGGAGTCTGTCTTACGTGTGCATATGTATAACTATATGTGCATATGCTGTCAAGGCTCAGCAGAAGGAGAATCAAGGAATCACCTTCCAGGAAAGGCAGAGGATCCCAGCTTGCTCTCTGAGTGGGTGGCTACTCTAGAACAGGCAGGCAATCTCTCTCTAGTAGGTGCATATCAAATATGCTGAAACTTAGACATCTTTAACCTTGAGTTTATGTCAATTTAAATTGTTTCGATTTCCAAGCAGTGATATTCTTCTATTGTGAAACAGTCTTTAATTTTGCTGAGAGACACAAAAAGCATCATTTGGTGTGGTTTAAAACTAAAAAGGAAAAAAAAAAGAGAGAAAGAGAGAATGAGAAACAATGGAGCTGTACTTGTACTTTTACACAACTGTTTTGTGGTAATGCAGGTGGCAGTTCTCTGAAATGTGGCACTGAAGTAACCTCCCTAGCAGAGCAGGTGAAGCATCTTATAAAATATTCCAGTGGATGTTTTGTTCTGTGTTTAAAATCCTGTGAATGAGATGTAAACTTCATTTAACTTAGTTGTTGAAAGCATTAGTTCCAGCTACCATGGTTGTGTTTTACTGCAGAGATGTGTTTGTTGAGAGGGAATGACAGTTTTTATCTACCATGGTCTGGATAGTGGTTCTACTATCTCCTTGAAGGGTCTTTCCTTGAATTTTGGCAAGAACGTTATTGAGGTAATAGGCGTTATCATTTGCTTTTAAATGTATCACATGTCATCACTTGCTAGGCTTGTTCTTTGTTGTTACAGCAAAGAATTTATACATAGCACAGTCAAGTGGGTAGCTGGACTTTTGCCTAGCTGTGCAGTGAAGGGATTCAGGCACAGCACAGATTGGGAGCTGAATTTGTTCTCCTTATTGCAGTAAAGAAGCTAGTGCCTGGCTCTGTGAGAGCCAATTTGATGTTCTCATGTACATTGTACCAAACCTCTTTGTACTTTTCTAGTTGAAAAAGATTGGTGGCGGTGGCTTTGGGGAGATCTATGAGGCAATGGATCTACTGACCCGTGAGAATGTGGCCTTGAAGGTGGAATCAGCCCAGCAGCCCAAGCAAGTTCTCAAGATGGAAGTGGCTGTCCTGAAAAAGCTGCAAGGTAAGGCAGAAAGCTCTTTGGAAGTGCTAAAGGTCACTGTGCATGTTAACAATTGGAATCCAAAGTTGCAAATGTTCTTTATAACTTTCTCTTCAGATTCTACCTATATGTGAAGTTACATTAAGTCATTCAGCTCAGAAAGTTACTACGTTCTTTAAAGCATTCTACTCAAGTGAGTTCTGACTACAGGGACTGTTTTTGTCTGCCAGGCTATCAGAACAGGGAGGACACTTAAACTGAAAACTATTGGTACACTGGGCTGTGCAGTCTAGTGATAGTGATGAGATGATGAGGAACAGAGCAAGCAGCGTTGGACTAAGAAATGAAGTTAGCTGATTGCCTCCCAGAGGCCCAGGACGATGTTTGTGACTATAGCACTGTGAGCATGACGGAGTCTCCAAGTAAAATGGTTGACTAGTAGATGAGTGCAAAAAGTGGATAACATAAAGTATAGGAAAACTGGCAATTAGTAATTTTTCACGTACCTGACTGTCCTGAAGGTAAAGTATGAAAGATTTTAAGTCTTTTAGTTTTGGGAGTGGTGGTTTTGAATTACGTTAATTTCAATGATATGCCTATTTTTAATTTTTCCTAACACAGCGTTATATTAGTTTGGATGTGGAAGTCAGCCCTGGGACCATCGATTTCTGTAGTTGACCCTGGCAAAGCTTATAAGCAGGTTTCAAACTGACTGGGAAGCAGCAAAATGGGAGCCTTCCTTGGCTCATGTCCAACCCTGCTTCCACTTAAGAAATTACACAGAAGGGGGACTTGCCTTATGCCAGGATGCTGTTTTCTGTTTGCTCAGATGAAACTATAAATAAGGCTAAAATTTAAAATTTGCTGTGCTGATCTTTAAAGTCTTTTAAGTCACAGTCATTCTGGGGAGTGAACTAGTAGAACAGGCTGAAAGAAGCCAGCCAGTATCCCAAAGGCTTTTGCAATGCGGATGAGATGCAGTTTAACACCAAAGGGTGCAAGGGAGCAGTCTTGCTGCAGTTGCTCCTGGCTGAAGGAACAGTGAGGGGGCTTCTGCTAAAAACCCCTTGCTAAGGGAGAATGTAGACAAGAAATTTCCAAATCTGCCTTTGAGGTACTGAGAACTGCTGTTTGTTGAAGTGCATTGTGCATGGATTTCCTTGTAAAGGCAAGGCCAGCTATTGATAGGTACAGTTTACGTGTTCTGGTATAATACGCCTTTGAAGGGATGTTCCTTTTTGCAGGATTCACACTTGGGCTCAGGAAACACTTTTCCATGAAGCAGTGGGTAGTATCCCTATCACCAGGGCTCATGCTTCAGAGGTAGCATTGTGGCCCTGTGTCAGTGTCTATACCTCTGCCCTTAGACAAAACCTCCAGAGATATGATTGAATTAGAGGGTGAGACTGTTGCGGGTCTTGTGAAACAGGGTTTGCTCGATGCTTGTGACATATAGCCTCTAGGTAGAAGTCAGTGAATCATTTTTGAAGGTCAAATAGTTTTACACAGTTCAGCTCTTCTAAAAGGAGGACTGATAAGGCCTTTTTTGAATACACCGTATTGTAATAGATGCAGCTGAGCTGTGTAAAGAGAACCAAAACAAAGGAGAAATCAACCCAGATCATTAGGAAGAAGCTTGCTGTTGATCTGTGAAAGGCCTGGATATGGAGAGCTCCTGGAGAACAGCAGAGCAGGTGGATAAGGTCTGAAAGCAATGCAGTGAGGGCAAGCTAGGCAGAGATCTGGATTTTTGCATTTGGTTGTACACTTGGAAATGCTCTGAATTGAGTGAGGGTGTGACTGTGTAGAATGGTGGATTATGAGAATACCAAGAGACAATGCTGTCGTGCTGGCTAGAGACAATGTGTTACATCCAGGGCTGGGAGTGCTTGAAAAGCAAGACCTGAAGTCACCAAATCAGAACTAGCATCAGAAAATGTGCAAGGAGTTGACTAATATTTATGCTTTGCCATCAATGTTTATTTCTGGAAAATAGTTGGGAATACCAAATGTTTGAAAAAACACCCACAGTTGTACACAGCATGATCCTGGTAACTGGGGAGAGGGAGTGGTGGTGTGTGGAATTAAGAGAGTGCCTTGGCAAAGCGGTTAGTAAATATTAAGGGACAGAAAAGACTGAAGCAGAATTGGCTATGCATCAGCTATCCTGCATTTAAGAATGACAAATTACTTCAGCCATATTTTTATAAATCAAGCTGTTCTGTGAAAAATTTAGCTTTTTTTGGTTCAAGGTTAATCCCCAAATGCCTTACTGAAATAAATGATAAAGTTAAAATAAGAAATAAGGTTGAGAGAGTTGGGAATCGTGTATTGTGTATGTTTTCACTGTGAGCTGTTGCGAAGAGGTGAGAAACATCTCAGAAAGGGACATGCTGACTTTATCCAAACAGTTGGTGGATGGAGGGAAGTTAGTGGTATTACCATAGGTGATATAGCCAGCTCATGTTTTTCCAGGTGAAAAGTAAGGGAACAGTGTAATCTAAAATTCCTCTGTACTTCTGTGGTAGAATTTAACATTACAGTCCCTCTTAAATAGTACAGCTTTATTGTTTTCTGTTTAGGTATCACACCAATATTAAATGACTGAGCTGCTGCTCTTTTTGGAGCTTGTGATCGGTATCTTGCAAGTTGCTAGAGCTTCACAAAGTTTGGGATAGAGAAGGCTGGCCATTAGCCCCTATGCAGACCTAATTCAGACCTGATTTGGGTGCAGCCTGACCTCTCGGTGCAGTAGATCGGTTTGGACTGCAGGCTGTTGCCAACAGTCAGAATTTCTGGAATAGCCACGTAACAAACACAGCCACAGGTCCCTCACCATGTGCTTTCTGCACTGGCAGTCCACACAAAACAACTGGGGAACTAACCAATTAATGACTCTTCTAGATAGTCTCTATACCTTCTAATAAACACTGTGTGTAGGTGGTCAAACGCTGGAACAGGTTGTCCAGAAAGGTTGTGGAGTCTCCATTCTTGGAGATACTCAAAATCCAACTCTATGTGGCTCTGGACAACCTGCTTGAGCTGTCTGTGCTTGAACAGTGGGACTAGATGAGCTCACTTCCAACATAAATGATTGTGTGATACTTGTGCTTGGCTATGTGAGATCACTGCCACTTCAGTATCTCTCAACTGCCTGTTCTCTTCTGCTCTTACTTGATTTGATTTTTCTAGCTGTATAGTGCTTTTTCTTTATCTATTTAGATATTAATGTGTTTGCCAAAGGCAAAGTTCTTTCTGACTTGTACTGTTACTTGCAAGGATTGTAGATCATCTTGTGACCAACCTTCCAAATCTTTATGCTGTCTTGGGGCTGGGAAGCACCAGCAATGGTGCCCTTTTAGGCTTTGGGTGAAACAGAATCGAGAGGTGAGTTTACCAAGCTTCTTGCTCGAGCAGGCGATGAGCTGATGCTCTCAGTTACGCTGTTGTTGCCCATTAACTCAGAATGTTTCCAGCAAAATTTCTGTCTGTTTCTTGCCTTCCATGGACTATTTTAGTGAAAATCAAAATCTCTTGGTCCCACAGAGTTGCTGTAGAGTATTTCCTTGTTCAGGCTGGGCTTGCAGGGCTTAGGACGTTCTGTCTGGTGCTACTATATCTGGCCAATTCTAATCAGAGCACCACAAGATAACATTTTTTTTTTTTTTCATCTTTGTCAAGCACTGTTTGGCTTATGTTGTCCTGTTGCTCCCCTATTCTGACAGGGTCGTGGCACTGTTGAACCAAAGCTGTTTTCTCAGTGTGTATTGGTAGGCTTGCTTGGGGAGCTCTTTTTGGTACCGTTAGGAATGTTGACCTCAGTATCACAATGTGTATTACTGTCCTTGCTGGTCAAGGAGCCCTCCACAGTACCTGATTTTTACCCGTATCGTCATTGCAGCATGAGCACATGGGATCATCCATGATGCCAGGCCTCTTCCATGAGGAGTCGCCATTTGAAAACAAGTCTGTCTTTCCAAATCCTCACCATGTGGTGGCATTCAGGCAACTATACCTTGTTGCTGAACCAGCGGCCACTAGAGATTATAACCTTAGACCTCTCTTTTACTTGAGATCGTACCATGTGTTCACCCACTGTCTGCTGTGGATGAAGTCCTCTGCTATTTATCAACATCAGCCTGAGCAACCCTGTTGGCCTGACTACAGGAGTTGCTCACCACTTCTGCCAGACTTGATTATCTCTGGCGTATCTGTCCCTTCCGTGGATGAAGGAGTAAGCAGGACTATGTTGACCTGGAGGATCAGAAAATTTTCTTTCCTTGAAAAAGGCTGCTGTGCAGTTCCCAGCTACTGGGTATCATGGAGAGTCCAAGGAACCACATCAGAAAGTAGACTTTCGCAATAGTAGATTCTTATATACATACTTCTCTCTAAAATGTGCAATAAGTAACAAGCAATATGGAAATAATATGAAAAATTCATAGTGTACAGCAGTAAGAAATGTGTGTATGTAGTTGGGAAGCGTAGGGATAATAAATCAAAGTAATAGTATGAAAAGAGATAATAAGTAAAATTATTTTATGAACAGCTAATAGAGAATTACCCTACTAGGGATAAATCTTACCTATAACAAATTCAGAAACTGTTTCAGAGATAGTTTGGCACATCTGCACAGGGAACTTCTACATGAATACAGCTTCTCTGTCAGAAGAATACTGTTTTAGTGCCAAGCCCTCATTTTATTGCCTTAATCACGACTGTAAAATTATCTTTAGTGAGATAATTGTATATGATCGTACCATTTGCACATAATTTTAAACTACTGGGACTTTTCTGCTTTGCAGTCAAGCATTTTGAAACCAAGCCTAAGCTGCATTGGCAAAATAGTTCTTGCAGATACAACTTGTCTCCAGCAGAGAAGGATGCTGGAGAAGGATGCTGGTTTAGTTGTATCTGTAAGTGTTTTGCTGTGTAGACAAGCCTTTTGATCACGTAGGTTAAAAAGCAAATGGAAATAAGATCTGAATGGCTAAGTGAACTAGCAACTTAATTATCCAGAG